TTCTCGTTTCTGATGCAGAACATTGCTCCTGAGATTTTTTCTCCAAATCATTTCCTCCCCAAAAGTCGGTCAGTGTTCGTTTGGATGCCATTGTTATGGAAATGTGCCGCAAACTTATCGACCTTTTTGATCCCGGAAGTGCTATTTGCCAGCGTTTAAAACTAACAACGAAAACGTACGAACCAACTTGGCGTAACAAAATTTAATTTCGGGTACTCTTGAAGTTGTTCCGATAAAACACGAACATGCTTCGGTGATTCCAGAGAAATCTAACTGTGAGTGCGCATGCGCATGCAACACAGCTGTTTAATAGACGCAGTGGTTATGCAAATCGAGGTTAGCGTCCGTTTCTCGGTGCAATAGACTGTTAGTGCTTCGTGTGAGTTATTTTTCCGTCATTCCAGTTATCACCAACCACGTTCACCACAATAAATATTGAGTTCTAATTACATGATTGTATGTTCACTTTTAAGTACTCGCCAATTTTTTCGCCACATCGGAATAGTATTAGTCAATTGGAATTTGTTATCGCAATTGGCGATGTGGCGATCGGGTAGCGGGAGCCCTGGAATATGTAAATTATGACGTCATTTTGGCGCGGCTTTGTCACGCCGTGAAACAGTGTTTCCTATTGGATTCAGGAGCATAATTTTGTACTTTATAACCAATTGCGACCACGCATATCCACACATCTGCGCGATTCACAGCAACTGCCTTTGATCTCGAGTTCTAGTGGACGCATTATACTAATTTTTCGCACAGACACTCTTCAATATGTTCCCTCTCAAGCGGCACTGGGATTTTTCTATTTTCCTATTTGTTTCGAAATTACGTTCTAATTTCTAAATACCGGAAAGAACCAGATCGCATTGTTTTTCCATCAATATATCAGTTTAGAAAATCAATACCAAAAACATGTACCGCATCCTTAAATAGTTAGTTGGTGTCCAGTGGAGAGAGAAGTCAACAGTACTTTGCCTCCCGAGAATCTACATCTTCAAACACTGCAATCTTTGTTTTTAAAGTGCGTTTTTAAATTACTATTATAAAAGCTCTATCATTCTGTTCTAATAGCTGAAACAAATTCCTATGAATTTTCATTTGTCAAATGAACTGTTTGTCAAATACAGAATACTGTGGAATACTTTATTTTCGCTGAAAAGGCTTTTTGGGCGTTTTGCCTGGAATTTATTTTCACTGATTTTTGATGAGTTTAATGTGAAATATAGGAAAAAAAGTATATTTGCTGGATTTTATTTTCACAGAATCATTCCTTCAGCGAAAATAGTGAGAATAAATTCCAAGCAAAAATAAAGTATTTTACAGTACCTATTTTTGAGTACAATTTTCTTTTCAAAATGTGGATGCAACGTTTTGCTTTTTATGTATTTTTTATGTATTGTTTTTGATTTGATAACTTTGGACTTAACAGATTTATTATTAGCTTTAGATCTTGATCAAACTTTGGCACCCAGTTCATAGCAGTGCTTATATTGATTTTCTGACATCTTGTTCTTTGTAAAGATTTTAGGTTTGCAAATGTGTATCAGACTGTGCAAAAACACTCTCCATGAGTTGGTTTTGAAACCCAGTCTAGTATTCCCATGAGATTTGGGAGATACATTACCAATGATATTATTACAAGATAAGTGATTTGCTTCATTGAACATAAACAATGCATATTTCCACTGAGATCAGTGACCTTTGAATGTGCATCACCAGTGATCAGTCAAGTAGAAACAGTCAAAATATTTTATCAGATTTTCTCAATTTTTGCATGATATTTTCATACAGAACATCTGTCGTTCATACTCAGGGAAGACTTTATACTGATTAATAAGGTGACTAAGTTTGATAAAGTTTGGAATAGAATTAGTAAAGTCATTGTGCACACAATGACAATTATTAACGACAACGACGACGACAACGACAACGACAACGACGACGACAACGACGACGACAACGACGACGACGACAACGCCGGAAAGTAATGTTTCCCTTAATATACCTTTCCCTTCCATCTTTGATGTTACGGGCAAGGTAAAAATGGATGGAGATCCAACATATTAAAATAAAATAGCGAATATTAGAAATAGCATTTAGGTTAAAAAGGTTTTGCTACTTGTCAATGACCACCAGCCAGAGTAAGAATGGTCATCTGTTAAAGTTGACATTCTTTTTAACAAGTTCCATTCAGCTTGTTATCACACCATTAACTAATAAAGATTATTACAATTAAATACACCTTAAACATAGAACACATGTCATTGTAACTGTGTATATGCAGTAATTACTGACCTTCATAGCTAATAGCTCTTTGGGAGTTAACTTCTCCAACTCACTCTCAAGGTATTGCACATTTGCCTGAAATAAATCATATACATAGCATTGAATACAGTAATCAGAAAGATAATTCAGCTATCTTTGTTGTCTATACCGTGAACTGGACTTTTTTATATCTTATATCTTATCCAGCCCAGATGCAAGATGAACAATTTAATCACTGTACCAAGGATTTTCAAAAACAGTTTAAGAAATTAAATATAATATTGACAAGTCATGTCACCACACATTTGCAATTGTTCAATAATAACTAAACTTATACAAGTCTAGCATTTTGAATAAGAACTTGTTGTAACAACTGCAGTAGTGCCAGTATGTATGAAATGATGTATAGGTGAATAGTTTGATTGCAGTAGTGCCAGTATGTATGAAATGATGTATAGGTGTATAGTCTGATTGCAGTAGTGCCAGTATGTATGAAATGATGTATAGGTGTATAGTTTCATTGCAGTAGCGCCAGTATGTATGAAATGATGTATAGGTGTATAGTTTGATTGCAGTAGTGCCAGTATGTATGAAATGATGTATAGGTGTATAGTCTGATTGCAGTAGTGCCAGTATGTATGAAATGATGTATAGGTGTATAGTTTGATTGCAGTAGTGCCAGTATGTATGAAATGATGTATAGGTGTATAGTCTGATTGCAGTAGTGCCAGTATGTATGAAATGATGTATAGGTGTATAGTTTGATTGCAGTAGTGCCAGTATGTATGAAATGATGTATAGGTGTATAGTTTGATTGCAGTAGTGCCAGTATGTATGAAATGATGTATAGGTGTATAGTTTGATTGCCATCAGTCAAAGCATGTCAAAGATATTTCTCAGGAACTGCGTTCATTAAAATAAAATGGCCACCAGATGGCCATTTTGAATTTGAATTCAAAAACAAAATTATGTGCATCAGAATCACACTATGTTTGCACAATGTTTGAACACAATCTTTAAACTGGTCACTATTCTGACATCTTGAAACAGATTGTGAAATGGAGAGATGTGTATATGCATATGTATACATACATATAACAATAAAACTCAAATTATACCTTTAAAAGAAACAACTCTTCCCAAAAGTTGGGATTCTCTCGTGATGGATCTTCTCCCTGGATGTACAAGATAAATTTATAATATAGTTACAGTAAGTAAAAAAAATTACTATCAGAATTTAAAAAGATTAAATTTGTTGCCATTATTCTTAATTTGGTTAAAACATCAGAAAAACATACTTAAATATAAAGTGTATGTTACAGTAGCATGTTTCAATTTACTAAATGAACACTATCCATGCCTACATTAGCAGATGTACAGTACAATACAGTATAACTGAATATTATGTACAATAAATCAGAAAATTGACAAAAACAATATCATGGGTCATCTCACTCGTATCACTCATATAGCATGTATGTGAGGGGGTCTGAAACATGAGTCATCTCACTCGTATCACTCATATAGCATGTATGTGAAGGGATCTGAAACATGGGTCATCTCACTCGTATCACTCATATAGCATGTATGTGAAGGGGTCTGAAACATGGGTCATCTCACTCGTATCACTCATATAGCATGTATGTGAAAGGGTCTGAAACATGGGTCATCTCACTCGTATCACTCATATAGCATGTATGTGAAGGGATCTGAAACATGGGTCATCTCACTCGTATCACTCATATAGCATGTATGTGAAAGGGTCTGAAACATGGGTCATCTCACTCGTATCACTCATATAGCATGTATGTGAGGGGGTCTGAAACATGAGTCATCTCACTCGTATCACTCATATAGCATGTATGTGAAGGGATCTGAAACATGGGTCATCTCACTCGTATCACTCATATAGCATGTATGTGAAGGGATCTGAAACATGGGTCATCTCACTCGTATCACTCATATAGCATGTATGTGAAGGGTCTGAAACATGGGTCATCTCACTCGTATCACTCATATAGCATGTATGTGAAAGGGTCTGAAACATGAGTCATCTCACTCGTATCACT